GAGGAACCTTGATAAAAATAAATTGCCAAAAAGTTCACTACCAAATTAAGTGTAGCTGTAACAATAGTAAAGACACATGGGAAATATTCTTTAAATCTAGGATTCTTACACACAATGATTTGAAATTGTTGCCAGCTGGTAATTCCTACTCTAGCATGAATTCTGAGGACTGTAAGTCAGGTACAGCATGTAAAACATGTTGAACATTTTAAGGAAACTGCTTTAAATGGATATCAGGTAAAGATTTTTTGAAGCATTCCAAGACACTATGTGGATGAGGATTTAGAAGGAACCAGGCCACAGACACAAAGTATTTATCAGCATTCAATGTTCACTGGTTCCTGCAAGTGGTTTAGTGTGACAAGCCCTGGACAAAATTCTAGAGCAATATCAGAGAAATTGATTATTTGTACCTTCTTTGAAATATACCTTTAATCAAGGCAAGACCAATTAAAGAGACCTCAAGGGGCCAGGGAGATGGCTCAGTGGAATAAATGCTTTCCTGGTGAGCACAAGGGCCTGAGTTCAATCCCTGGTTCCACCAAAAAAAAAAAAAAAAGACCTCAAACTTAAATGAGGGGGCTGGTGAGATGGCTCAGTGGTCTAAAGCGCCTACTTAGAACAAGCTTGGCAAAGCACAGGGACCGCAGTTCAATCCCCCAGCACCACATGCCAGCCAGCCCCGCATGCCAGCCAGCCCCACCCCCTGGTGGGCTGAGCTGGCCACACACACACACACACACACACACACACAAATAAAATTAAAAAAAAAAAACTTAAATGAGATGGCAAAGTAAACACATCCTTGTTTGCTCAGTGCTACTGTAACCTATGAAAGTAGAGAAATGACCCCCTTCTACATCATAACATTTTCTGAACATAAATTTAAGATAAATATGAAATTTATTATATATATTTCTTTTATAATCCTTGTCAAAACAGTATGACTACTCATGGACAGATTTATCTAGTTTGAGACTATATCTATTTTTTTTTTTCTTCTGGCTTTGACACAGGCTTGTTTTTTTGCTCCTTCACAGTTTCTTTCCTCTTTTTTTTTTTTGGTGGAACCAGGAATTGAACTCAGGCCCTTGCACTTGCCAGAGAAGCGCTTATTCCACTGAGCCATCTCCCTGGCCCCATGCTTCACAGTTTCTAAGTAGGCAAACAGTAAAGCTGAAACTGTTTGACTTGCCAGGCAACTGTGTTATAGCTCTATCACTGATGCCTACAACTCAGGAGTCATTGTCATTATTTGGGAAATATGGATGCACATTAGTAAGCATCTCAGGGCTGGGTCATAGCTCTGTGGCCAAAGCACCTGCCTGGCAAGCACAAGGACTTAGGTTTGATCCCTCATACCACATACCCTGCCAGCCCCAGTATCCTGGGCATGGTGTGCTGGCCCCAAAACCAGGTATGGTGGTGCATGCCTGTAATCCCAGTGCTGGAGAGGCTGAGACAGGAAGACCACTATGAGTCCAAGCTGTGTAGCGAGACCCTGTACCAAATAAATAAACAAGCATCTAATTTCTCTCTCAGATAGAAGCGCATTACCACTGCCATAGTCCTTCAGTATAGCAGGGATTCCTAATGAGTCAGGAGAGAGGGGAGATTGGGAAAAAACTATCTGTTTTCTACAGAATTCTAAGGACTTAAGATGCTTTGAGTTATCACAAAGGAAATGAGTTTTAAAAGGTTTTAAAAGGTTGAGAACTTTAGGACATCATAAAGATAAGAAAACTAGAGTAGCCAGGGAGACAGCTCAGCACATAAGCACCAGCCTGGTAAACACAAGGTCCTGAGTTCAATCCCCAGTACAAAACAAAACAAAACAAAAACAAGCAAACAAAAAAACTAGAGCAGAAGCAAATTACTTTTTTCAGAAGCAGTTTTAAATGCTATCAGAATTTTAAAACTCTTATCTCCATATTTTCTGTTATTATCTGAGCTCCAATGATTACATCAACATGTCACCACAGATCTCTTCCTGATTTTTAGGGTTGTGGGTGGTGGCTACAAACACATTGTATACACTTTACTTGGCTGGTAACACAATCACAGGACAAACTATCAGGCCCATCTACAAAGCTACTGTGAAATCTCGGCATACATTTACTCTCAATTGAAATCTGAGGCCAGGGAGATAGCTCAGTTGAATAAGCGCTTGCCTGGCAAGCACAAGGGCCTGAGTTCAATCCCCAGTTCCAAAATAAATGAATAAATTAATAAATTTAAAAAAAAATCTGAGGACTAAGCGATTGTAAGAAGGTGGAGAGAAGTGACAGGTGCCTCCCCAAGCCACAAAGAACTAGTATGTAGTCATCCTCTAAGCTTCTGGGGAGAGGCACCCAGCTCCAGGTACAATTGCAAATTATTTATTATGCAGTAATTTTAAGGCCTTCAGGTTTATGCTGGCTGTTCAATAAGTTCTCTAGACGTGTGTGTGCGTGTGTGTGTGTGTGTGTGTGTGTGTGTGGTGCTGTTTGCAATGTGGGTACAAGCCCTGGGCCTTGAGCATACCAAGCACATCTCTAATACTGAGATACAACCTCATCCCAAGCATTTTAGGCATTTTTAAAAGTTAAAAATACACCTGGCTGCAGTGGTATGTTTCCATAATCTCACCTCATCAGGAGGCTGAAGCGGGAGGTTCAAAAGTTCAAGGCTAGCAAGTGCCTACTGGGGGATGCAGCTCAGTGGTGAAGCGCTTGCCTGGTATTTGAGGCCTTACATTCAACCTCCAGTACCACAAAACAAACAGAAAACATTTTGTCCTTTGGAAGAAAATAAGGTACTTAAGGAAATAAATTTTGTAATTTACAAATAACACTGTAATCCTGAATACAGGAACATTTTTCTATTTGAGTAACACTTCCTATTTATAAGATTTAATTAAACACTCTTTCATGTTAGTACAATTCAAAACAAATTAACAAAAGGTAGATAAATTTGGGGCTCTGCTCTAATTTTTCAAATTAAAAACGGAGCTTTTTCTTTATTACAAAAGGAACAAATGTTCACTACTCAAAATCTTGAGACTACAAAGGAAGCTAAATGATAAAAGCATGTATCAAAGTGTAGCCATTAAGAGAAAGGTGGCTACTTTTAGCACACAAATCTACACAATCGGGATTGAAGGGAGCCGCAAAACACACAGCACCGGCCTCGGCTGCCTGGGAAGCCCTGCTCCTGTGCCGCCGACTCTGCCCAGGCCACCTTGCCTGAAGAAATGCGTGGTGGCCTGGCTCTGAGTAAGAGCACAGTGTAAATGTCCAACTTGCCCTTCTCCCTGACAACTGCTACCGGATATTTTCCAAGTATGGCAAAGCTGTGAAGGTTACAATAATGAAAGACAAAGACACTTTGAGGAACAGTAAAGGAGTTGCATTTATATTGGTTTTAGATAAGAAAACAAAGACTGCACAAAGTTGCAGCAGAGCCATAAACAACAGTTATTTGGTAGAGTGATAAAGGTGAAAGTTGCTATTGATAATGGAAGAGCAACTGAATTCACCCGAAGGCGAAACTACCTTGATAAATCTGTTACAAATGTGAACACCTAAGCTACACTGGTCCAAAGAATATGCTCAGGGAATGTGAACCTCCAAAGAAAAGAAGAAAAAAAAAAGAAAGAAAGAAAAGAAAACTGCTGAACCGGAAGAAATGGAGGACTGGAGGACGCAGCAGGACGCCAGGATGAGGGCGAGGAGACCGCTCTGGACAGCCTCAGCCACGCCCTCGCCTGCCAGCAAGCCCAGATGGAAGAACAAAACAAATGGAAGCTCAGTACAGGCCCTTGGACCTCCGACGAGGAGGATTCTCTGTGCCCAAGGATAGAGAAGAGCGCATACTTCAGGGATGAGGAAGAGCTTAGTGATTAGTGTTGTACACTGGACATGTCAGGAAAACAAAAACCATCTGCAGTACAAGGTGTCTGCGGGCAAGGACACTTAGGACCAGAGTATTTTTTACACCAAATAGTGCACAAAGGAGGAAACAACATTTTTTTAAATGATCATGTTTTGAGTTGGGTATGGTGACAACTCCTGTACTCCTAGCATTCTGGGAGGCTGAGGTAGGCGGACTGGAAGTTCAAGTCCAGCTTGGGCAACTTAGGAAATGAACAAAACCCTATCTCAAAATATCAAAAGAAAAAAGAAAGAAA